AAGAACTTTTCGTAAAAATACAAAAATATTGCGGAGAAACTGCGCGCGTGGACACTTTTTTAAACTTTCACATCAATTCATTGCTACTTAGGACCAAAAACAATTAATAAGTTGCATGCCACTATATTCGGGAAACTCTCCTCTATCTTCCGAGACTGATTAGAACTTTCTAGCGTTTGTACTTTTCATGCAACACCTCATTTTTATCGAAAATTTTGGGTTTTTACAAAAGTTCGTTTATTTAAAAAACTGAGGGTGATGGAGCAATTCGGTTTCCAGATTCTTGTTCAGGGAGTGAAGCTCTACAAGAATTTCATAGTGGCTATAGGAACCCGGAAAAAAAGATTGATTCTGTCGGACAGTGTAATTAATGGGTTAAGGAAAAACGCGAGCGGTGTGCGGCGTGTGCGGTTGTACGGCACTGATTCTTCGAATTTGTGGAAGATCGGCGGAAGAGGATCTGTCAGTTATTGCGACGAACGGGTACCAGTTATTGCCAGGGAAATGTATCGGGTATCGTAAAGACCAGTTGGCCGATGGTCCGGCGGCGATCTTGAAATATAAATTTACCGCGGCACGGTGCCGCTGGCGATGGTGGACGCGATTCCCGCGTGCCGTTCCACGACCATTTCTAACCCGTGTGCAAATCCGCAGGAAGTTGGACGCGTGGGTGTACGCACAACGCCCGCCTTTGGCAACGATCCAGCGCGTGTTTCTAACTCGTCTAACGAGGAAACGGCGGCGGGCTCGTTTCGATCTACCGACTCCGAGGATCTCGCTCGCCGATCGACGAATCGGCTCGATCTCGAAGCGGAAGTGTTCCCAGAGTTCGAAGCGGATCGATATTCCGCTGTTGGTTCGTTGAAAAATGTTTCGCTAGATCTGCTGTTTTTATATTAAGTCGGAGTTTGCAATAAAGTTCTTGGGAACTGCTGTTCCATCGTCCTCCGAGCGTCTTGACTACATTGTGTTGGAGAATAAAATCGTTTTACGTACCGATGACGGCCATGTGGCCGAGTAACGCGATTTTTATTGTCTGTTAACGGCAATTGGACTCAATTGGCTGCGCCCACGAAATAGTAATAGTAGTTTTATGTTTTATATGTTGGATGCTCTATAAAATTTGTACTTTAACCCTTTGCCGTATGATTCCTTTGCAGCCACAGTAGGACATCTTTGTCTTCGACAATTTCTCAGGTAACAAAGAAAATTTCGTGTTTATTACGTGTCTACGTTTAACCTTTTAGGCACGACGCGCCACTATAGTGGCTTGCTCTAGTAGCTCGCTCGCTCATCGTTTGAATCAAATAATCGTCTTCATATGCATTGTTTCACACTTCTTTTGTCTTCGCATCGATTTACAACAGTCTACAGGGTGTCCCAAAAATGTCTCGCAATCCGGAAATGGCGGGTTCCTCGGATCATTTGAAGCAACTTCTTCCTTTACAAAAATGTTCTCCGAGGCACCGTTAACGAGTTATTAACGAAAAACCGTGACCAATAAGAATCGAGTACGGCTGACGCGAGGCGGCCCAGCCAACCAGCGCACGAAGCCCAGCTCCGCTCATTGGCTCGGTCGCCTCGCGCAAGTGAGCTCGCCTCTCAGTGGTCACTGTTTTTCGTTAATAACTCGTTAACGGTGCCTCGGAGAACATTTTTGTAAAGGAAGAAGTTGCTTCAAATGATCCGAGGAACCCGCCATTTCCGGATTGCGAGACATTTTTGGGACACCCTGTAGACTCTGTCTCTTATACACATCTAAGATGTGTATAAGAGACAGGCCCAGCTCCGCTCATTGGCTCGGTCGCCTCGCGCAAGTGAGCTCGCCTCTCAGTGGTCACTGTTTTTCGTTAATAACTCGTTAACGGTGCCTCGGAGAACATTTTTGTAAAGGAAGAAGTTGCTTCAAATGATCCGAGGAACCCGCCATTTCCGGATTGCGAGACATTTTTGGGACACCCTGTAGACTCTGTCTCTTATACACATCTAAGATGTGTATAAGAGACAGGCCCAGCTCCGCTCATTGGCTCGGTCGCCTCGCGCAAGTGAGCTCGCCTCTCAGTGGTCACTGTTTTTCGTTAATAACTCGTTAACGGTGCCTCGGAGAACATTTTTGTAAAGGAAGAAGTTGCTTCAAATGATCCGAGGAACCCGCCATTTCCGGATTGCGAGACATTTTTGGGACACCCTGTAGACTCTGTCTCTTATACACATCTAAGATGTGTATAAGAGACAGGCCCAGCTCCGCTCATTGGCTCGGTCGCCTCGCGCAAGTGAGCTCGCCTCTCAGTGGTCACTGTTTTTCGTTAATAACTCGTTAACGGTGCCTCGGAGAACATTTTTGTAAAGGAAGAAGTTGCTTCAAATGATCCGAGGAACCCGCCATTTCCGGATTGCGAGACATTTTTGGGACACCCTGTAGACTCTGTCTCTTATACACATCTAAGATGTGTATAAGAGACAGGCCCAGCTCCGCTCATTGGCTCGGTCGCCTCGCGCAAGTGAGCTCGCCTCTCAGTGGTCACTGTTTTTCGTTAATAACTCGTTAACGGTGCCTCGGAGAACATTTTTGTAAAGGAAGAAGTTGCTTCAAATGATCCGAGGAACCCGCCATTTCCGGATTGCGAGACATTTTTGGGACACCCTGTAGACTCTGTCTCTTATACACATCTAAGATGTGTATAAGAGACAGGCCCAGCTCCGCTCATTGGCTCGGTCGCCTCGCGCAAGTGAGCTCGCCTCTCAGTGGTCACTGTTTTTCGTTAATAACTCGTTAACGGTGCCTCGGAGAACATTTTTGTAAAGGAAGAAGTTGCTTCAAATGATCCGAGGAACCCGCCATTTCCGGATTGCGAGACATTTTTGGGACACCCTGTAGACTCTGTCTCTTATACACATCTAAGATGTGTATAAGAGACAGGCCCAGCTCCGCTCATTGGCTCGGTCGCCTCGCGCAAGTGAGCTCGCCTCTCAGTGGTCACTGTTTTTCGTTAATAACTCGTTAACGGTGCCTCGGAGAACATTTTTGTAAAGGAAGAAGTTGCTTCAAATGATCCGAGGAACCCGCCATTTCCGGATTGCGAGACATTTTTGGGACACCCTGTAGACTCTGTCTCTTATACACATCTAAGATGTGTATAAGAGACAGGCCCAGCTCCGCTCATTGGCTCGGTCGCCTCGCGCAAGTGAGCTCGCCTCTCAGTGGTCACTGTTTTTCGTTAATAACTCGTTAACGGTGCCTCGGAGAACATTTTTGTAAAGGAAGAAGTTGCTTCAAATGATCCGAGGAACCCGCCATTTCCGGATTGCGAGACATTTTTGGGACACCCTGTAGACTCTGTCTCTTATACACATCTAAGATGTGTATAAGAGACAGCCCTGTATATACAGACAGAATATACAGTATCAGACTCTGTACATAACCTCGCTCAGAATTCAGCCGTACCTAAAAGGTTAATATCAGAAGAATGGAATCTTATTTCGATTTGGATAAGAGAAGCGAAAATTATTTTTGGAATTTCCATCGCGAGTACGACTATTATATATAGCAAGGGGTCAACGATTGAATAATCGACACCATTTAAGATTCGAAAATTGTCTTTCCAGTGGTATATAATCGCACGAATCGCGTAGATTCTGCGAAACGTGTATCCGGCGTAACTTGAGAGTTACTTAATATTTCGAAGGAGGAGAACAATGCTCCAGGCAGCCGAGAATAGACGAGGAAACACGAGATATGGTTGAATGGAATCAACACCGGCCGCCGTTGTATCAGCCGCGCGCATACCGACTTCTTGAGTGCTTTTCGGCATGCGGAATTCGTAAATATTTCGCTCACAAGCTAAAATAAAGCCTCTCCCGGAATGCATTGCGCCTTGTTCGCCTGGTTGGCTGATTCATCGATTGTTATACGCGAAAACGAGCAGCACTCTTTCGCCCGCGGATCTCTACTTGGTTTACTTTGAAATTCTCCCGTAAACTCGGATACAATAATAAATCGGTCTATAAATACGTGTCGAGGAGAAATGCGCGATTTTGCTAATTAATTGGAGATTTGATCGAGGATCCGTTGAGGATCCTTGCGTTCGGATTCCTCGACTCGACAATAAATAATAACAACGACGTTTGACAGACAAAGAGGAAAATCATTCGAACAACGATACACGATCGTTGCAATTATATTTGTAGATCTGACGATCGCTAATTTTGCTTGAAATGGAAAATTGAAAACGCGCGAGAAAATGAGACCGTGAAGAATGTCACACCGTTCGCCTTTTTCTCGCATTCCGTTTTGCTAAATAAATTCCATTGAAATATACTTCCGGTTACCGGCACTCGTTAATTCGGTAAAGGGAGCAATTAAAACGCGGCATTTCGGAACGCGAGGAAACACGTCATTAACGAGGCCGTTTCGGCGTTAAGCCGTTTCAAGAACGCTCGCGACCGAAAAGAAACAAAATGCCGCGCGACGTAATACGTGATAACGAATATTTGCATAAATTGCGAGAATAAATTTGCCTCCCGGCGGCACTTCATCTTGGGAACACGCGAGTCGGCACGAGACGCAACTTTGGCCGTAGGTATCCGACGAGGAACTCTATCACGTTTCGCGCTATTGTGTTCTTTAACCGCGATTTAAATCGATCCCCGGAGACTCTGTTCACTATTCCCAGCTTTCCGGAAATTACGGCACCCTTAATAACACGAAGATACGTTTGATCAATACTCGGTTCGAATTGCTGTTCTACTTAATTCTTAGCAACTTATGCGCCCACGTGAACGCGGTGCGATAGATCCAGCTGGCGAGAATGGCACGCGATTCCGCCATTTTGCAACCGGCACGTTAAGAGAAGAGCCTGAGATTCAGGTAAGAAACTAGAAAATTTTTTTCTCGCGGTATTAATGCGTTCGTGTTCGTAAAACTACTCGATATTGAAATAGTTCTACTAGTTACAAAACTAGTGAAATCTTTGGTCTAGTTATAAATGTTTTCCGTTTGGGGGACAGATTGTAATAATGTAGGTAATTACGAAGGCTACCTGATAGATGGCAGTATAATTGATTGAATTATAACTGTTATGTATTTTATTGATAAATACAATTGATTTACTAACACGGATATTATTTATAACTCTACTCTAACAAGAAGAGAAAGATACTGAACGATTTTGTTTTTCGTATAATATAATAATATATATAGATAATAATATATTATATTATATATATATAGATAGATAATAAGATGATTCTGTACATATTGGAAATAAAATAAAATAGCAGTTGTGCGCTAAAAAGTTGTATCGGTGATTTAATTAACCGTCTATTTAAGTATTTTTACACAAAATTGTACTACTACATCCTTCATGTTGACTATTACTGCCTACACAAATATATGGCTCGAAGAAGTATAATAATAAATATTAAATATAATTGTAAATCCAAAAAATGTACGAAGAGTTCATTAAAAATTTTACTTTATTTATTTAAATCCCCCAAATTCAATTGAAGATTCAGAGCTTTAGTGAATTGTGATTATAACCTATATTTGAATTACAATAGATAATCATGTCCTTTAATTAGACTGCAGATCTTCATACATATTTCAATTACCGTAGACTTCTACAAAAAAAATTAGTACAGTAAAAAATAATAGTGCCAACTTGAAAATTCCTCACGGCAAAAGGAAAATATAGATGTTTTCAAAAGTGTGTTAATTAAAACGTTCCCTGCCATTTAGAAACTATGCAAACGTTATAGGCTCACGAAGATCTGCAATCGAGCAATAGTAAAATCGTAAATTGCATTAATTACACATTACCTAACTCCTTCCGTCATCCGCGTTTCACGAGCCGTCCGAAGTCTAACCTTTGAATCATTTAAATGGCGGCCAGTTGACGCGGACGAGCGCGCGCGCTCGCAGCTCCATCTGGGATCGTAGCTTCCGGTATTGAGCAGCAGTAGTATGGCAGTTGCGCGCAAAAGTCTGTTTATTTACGTGCTGTCGATGATTAATTGATCGCGTACCCGCGTCCACGAGCGATATCTACTGAGCGACGATCGTAACAGCGGGTTCGGTATGGTGCTCGCGTGACAGAGAGTCAAAAACACGGAAACCGAACGGATGGAAATGTGGTGATCGTCGACGGACAACACGGCTCTGGCTGGCTGTCGTCATTATCGTTCTAACCTAATTTTGCTGTAACATCCTACCATCGTTCTGGAATTTTCCGACGGACTGTCAACGTTTGTTTGCCAACAGTGGTTCGGCACGATGCCATGTTCCTGCGAGCATTGAGCACAGAAACGTGCAAAACTGTGAGCATGGCTGACGAGGTGCTGCCGGCGAGTTTGGAGAAGCTCGAGATTGATCGACTCTCGACGAGTTGTCCCCAGTAAGCAATCAATTGCACAAACCTAAACTTTTCAGCTTTGCTTCTCTTGTCAGCGATCATTCGAAGCGTCTGCTCTCTCGCGAGACGGTCTCAAAGCGTTCGATGCATCGGATCGTAGCGGTTTTTGCGACTCAACCTCTTTTCGCGCGCGGTCAAGGTCTCCGATTAACGTTACCTCGTTTTGCTCAAATACGTGCCATCCGTCTCTCTCTCTCTCTCTCTCTCTCTCGCTCTCTCTCTCTCACTCACTCACTCACACACACACTCACTCACACTCACACTCTCGCTCCGTCGTGCTTTGTTTACATTGCGCGTGACTTCGATTTATCAGATGCTGCAACTGTTCGCCAGCGTGCATTTCAACGACCAACGTTTCATGGTGGCGACGCTGCGACCCGACTACAGGGTTAACCGTGATCCGTAAGCGAATCGATATGTTTACATGCCAGCAGCGAGTTCGATAAAAACCGTTACGATACACCGTGAGTCGCGAGTCGTTTCTCTCGAACGATCGCGAGACCAAAGAACCGTCAAGATTCGCGATAGAAATCGTTCGATGTTCCGTGTGCTCGATGACGTGACAGTGTTATTTACTTTTCGACAGACGTTTAATCGATTGAACGTAGACCTGCACACACAAATACAGGCGTACATACAGACACACGGGATGCGTTCTAAACGTGAGTTTCCTTGGTTTCGCGTCATTGCATAAGCGACAAACTCGGCCGATATTTACCAATATTCGACTCAAGGCTGTGCGCTGGGAGTGATGAATCATCGTCGGATAATACCGAACGATTCTCTTATCACGGTTCCGTTGACGCTCAATAAATATGTTGCCCGATTAGTATTAGCCATGATGTCTGAACAGTGATATTACTATTTGTTTATGTTTATCAAGACTGGTGCTCCATGGAAAGTGTGATATTAATCGTGATTATTGTTCTCTGTTGTTTCAGTATAACGACAGCTGATAAAACAAAGTCATCGAACCCGTTTAGAAGTACAAGCAAAAGCATTGGGTCCGATTGTAGTTACTTGTTTCAAAGGAAATCGATGCCCAGTAGGCCAAGCTTATCCGAAATCAGCCCCAGAGGTGTGAAAAGCACAACGAATTTCAAACCATCAAAGAATGAAAGAGTACTCGATAAGAATAAGAATTCAATAATCAAAGAGGCTGTCTTAAAGTTAAACGATACTGGCACTACTTGTCTTAGTGATAGTCTAACGAGTACGTTGTTTAAGGAAACTTGTAAGTGTAGTGTTGCTTGGAAGAACAAGAAGGTCTTCGGTCATTGGTCTGTAGCGAAGGATTTTAAAACGCTGAACATTAGTCAGGAGAACAGGCAGGCCAAGGACGATACTAGCATCCAAGACAATTACCAAGCGAGTAGTTTTCAACGGGCACGTAGTAATACGATGCCCAGTTTGAAGAGAGGGCCTGGTCCCAGCAGAACTAGCGGTACCGTCCAATCAGACTCTACCAGCAGTTCCACTGGTCAACCTTCAACTTCAAACACATGTTCTGTACAAGCGAGAATGTCTCCGCCTTCGTGCGACGTCACCATCGATGAACTTGCCAGTTACTTCGAGGAGTTTGTTCATATCCCAAAGAAGATGTCGCACATGGCAGAAATGATGTATATTTAATTGTAATGAACTGGATTTAACTGGCAGATTTCTTACACAGTTTTTCAAAGGACTAGCATTGCAGCGTTCCTGCATGAGAAACAAGTCTAAATACTATATGTTTGCTACAAGAAAACCAATTCAATTTGGTACCTAAATTATATATAATACAAAAAGCTCCAAAAAAACACTCAAGAAAGGAACAAAGACGTCTTTGTAGAAAGTATTAAAAAAGAAACAAATCTATTAAAATGATTCGATTTCGAGATCGTTTTAAAGAACGTGATAAGAAAGAAAAAAAAAACGCGCGAAGATAATAAAACAAAATGTACGGATTTGTTTTCGTTTCCAGAAAAAAATATCGTTTGTAACAACTAATCATTGAGTTAATCTTTAACGAACAAAAAGAAAAGTAAATTTAATAATCTTTATTTACAAATTTTTGTATTGCGAGAATGAGAGATTGGTACTAGAATAAATTTCTTGAAATTAACTAATTTTGTATCATTCAAGTTCTCCCAGTCTTCTGCCGCTGTTCGCGCAAAGGTCGTTTTGTCAAGGTCATCAACATCTTACACGTTCGTATGATACATAATATATTTATCTGCATAGGCTTATGATACTTAATACAATGATACAAAGTAACCGTTTAAATTACTTAATGATAATAAGCTTTGGTACGTAAACAATGACGATATATTGATCCGTATTCTTCTTCTTTTTCTCATTTTTGTTACTTTAGGTACGAGTGTGAACCATGTTGACGCGCTGTGTACTGTGAGAAACCTTCCACGAAAGCCTAAAACTGCGTTAAAAAATATCCATCATCTATTTGGTGTGCGCATCACGTGACGACTGTTCGGTTTGTTCTTTTCTATCATCTTCAACGTCTCCATTTCTTTTTTTCTTTCCTCATTTTATTTTCAACATCTAGTACGAACGGTATTAATTAGCAGCTTCTCCGGTACGACGAATTATTTCGTGGTAGCCCCGCGCAACACTCAAACTCTGTATCAAAACATTGAGGTCTGTCGCTATATCACAGATTTAGTAAAATTTCATTTGAACGGAGCCACGACGAAACGAATTTCCAATTGGAAAACGAAAAAGAAAAAGAAATAGAAAACAGATTAGGAAAACTATGAAATCGGACTGAAAAGGGAGAAACTGAATAGACGAAAAATACTTTGTTTCCGAACCGAGAGACGCGGTGTTTTTTGGACAATAAAAAAGGATCGATCTGCGATCTAGACGCTCAATCAAATATGGATTGTTACTCGATGTACCTAACAATGGAAACGAAGCTGTGCCTATAAATATACAAGTCACAATGCAATGATCGGTGTTGTTAATAATAAACCGTGTAACGCATGCCAATAGAACCGAAAGTATCGTTCGCGAAACGCGCTACCATTTGGAAACGATACGGCTAATCGAACCAGTAAAAATAGTTACCCGATAAATGTATTAAAAATACAGTCGAAGTTATCGTAAAGTGCTACTTGGATCAATAATTGAGACGGCAAACATTTATAAACTACGAAACTTTCAGCTTGGGTCGTTATAATTCTATAAACTTGGCATTGAAAGAGGTGTGCAAACTATTGAACTCGTTCTCGCTATGTCGATAACTCTATTATCCTTTATTACTTCTCAACGAACTACGTTGAATAGCGTCCGACGTGTTACGTAAAAAGAATATTATGAGCGCGATAACAGTTAAATGTAGCGATCTGCGAGTGCTGATTAGATAAAAAAAAGAAAGAACAGTTTTTTTAGTTCAAGATCAATAATTTGCATACCTTGGTGCATACGAATGGTCGACCAGCATCGAAGAAAAAGTAATAGCGTTATATACTTGCGCAAACCAGCGTATTTAAATATACTTTGGACTACCGGACGCATTACAATGATACCATTAGCAACAGGTTCTTTCGTCATCGAAATATCTTCGGCATTCGAAACGCGGCGTCTCCCGACGAAGAATTCGATTTCGATTTTTCAAGAACACGCTGAGAACCCAAAAATATTTTTTCTTCCTCTCCCGCGAAAAGAAACTGTTCCTGTTCGAATATGATAGAGATTGTGCCCGCCAAAGGTTTGTATTCAATTATCGACGAACAGATAATAATTCAACAGGCACGTGCAATGTAAACTTTACAACAGTTGTTTTTATCATCTACTAACGCCGTATTCTCGATGGAGGAGATACAGTGTGGTCGTAAAATCGATCGGGGGAACTACAGCTCTCATGTTTCAGTGGTTTGTACGAGGAAATGAATAGCTGAATAACATGTGATCGAACCATTTAATTTCCTTGAAGATTATCATTTTAGAACCGAAGTGCTTGTGATAGAATGAATGAATTTTACGACCGCGCGGCATCGTTTTCCAGCGACCGCAGTAAAGATCAGCGATTTGAAGAGATTCTGGAAAATTTGTGTCAGGTATAGTCGTCGAATACAATTCGAATACAGCTGTTTCTGTTTCTTCTAAACGATATCAGTCTCTAGGTCCAGTGGAAAAGGCCACATGATGCCCTAACCATTTATAATATTTAAATATACCACTCTCTTACGTTTTGCTCGGGAGAAATGATCTATAGGGACAGTGACACTCGATACAGAGAAAAATGAAACGAAACGATACTTTCCGGCCACCTGGATGGGTGGACACACCTGGTCAAGTCGAACGGGGACCGACTTCGGCATTCGGTCTACCGAACCTATGGCGACAACATGATCAGTTTAGCGAGAAACTTCGAAGAGTGACCGTTCTCCGTGCGAGAAACACAACAACATTTTGATCGGTATAAAACGCTCATTAGAAAAAGTTTCTTTTTTTTTTACTGGACGTAATACAGCTACTTTCTAAACACTACGTAAACATGAGCTTTTCCACGTGCACTCACCGCGTCGTACTATATAGAATAAATTAGTTAACTCACACAACGAAGGTATGGCGTTCGCCCTGCTAATCAAAGTATAAAACATTATATTATATATATATATATGTATGTCGGTATACTATATATAATATATTTATATATATTTATATATGTATAAAGGTTGCAATATAATGTCGTGTTCGCGACGAGTCCCGGTGAACGTAAGCCGTTTAAATGTATTAACACTGACATCGATGTACCTTGGGACGTTTCGGTCGGAACTACGGTAGGACACGAAGAGTCTGATTGCTCGCGGTTGTCTTCTTATCGGAGATAACGTATCCGGTCACAGAAAACGAACAATTTTATCCCACTATTTAATAACCAATTTTTATCGAACACATTGGTTCTATTTTATATTCTACTTTTTGAACATGAATATTTTTTTCATCGTTTAATGTTCGAAGGTATTTTAAAGAATCTCGACCAATTTAGGGCCTCGAGCAACCACCTCCCATCTCTGTTCAAAGGACATTCACACTAGTCAGGCTTGCCAGGTGCGCACTGCTTGATAAACGCGATCAGGTGAGAACGATGGATCCTTCTATTGAGCAATGTTTACGGGTCGTTCGAAGAGCGCGACATTTTATTGCTGGTCTCTTACCGTCACGGCAAGATGCGCGTGAAAAATGAAAATAATACCGCACAGACACTGTAACAATTCAATACACACACACGCGTAATCTCTCTCGTATCACACGCACACACAAACACACGCGCGCGCGTACATACACACTCTCTAATCCCTATCGCGCCGTCATTCTCTCAGTCTCTCGCGCTTAATCAATTGTTTTTTTTTCTTATTCGTTTAAACGTTAATATCTAAAGTGTCATAATGGCTCATCGTGTAATTTTTTTTTCTTCATCTCATGACAATAGTTTAATATACGCCTAGGGACTTTACGTCTAACGATACGTTCCGCGGGGAGGGGGGGGCGACCATGACGACAACAATGTTTGTCCTCGGAATCGAAACTGGGATCGGGATCGACGTTAGAAAAAGAAAGATTCGCACGATTGCGCGTTTCACACCCCGAGGAGACCTATTTCTCTTTTTTCACTTTTTCACGTTTTCTCTCGTTTCCTCGCTCGCTTTACATTTATCTCGCGGTCTACCGCCTAGACACTACCCTAATTACCTGTCGTTTTCCTTGCGTGTTTAGTAGAAAATTTACAATTTCCTCTAACACTTTGTACGAGCAACGTCGATGACTGAAACTGTTCTTTTTATCTTTTCTCCCAGACATTTCCTCCGAAACACAGACGAGAAACGACAGTTTCGACTTGTATGCGTTCTTTTGCAGGCTTCGATCACAGTAGAAAATAATAATACGTATATTACAGAAACGTATCGCCGTGTGTGGTGCTTTCCGAATCGTGCATTCGCGATATACCGTTCACAGAACAAAAGTACACCGAATGAACAGCTTTGCTAACTGTTTCTTTTTTCATCGTCTTTTCCGGTTCTTCTTTTCTTTTTCGTTTGCTTGTTCATCATCTACGTAGAAAACGTATCAATCTCTCGTATAAAATATTGTTCTACGCGACGGCGCGTCGTTCGAAAAACTAAACGATAAGGTCGCTGCTACTTTCTACATTATTTACCGTAGAACGTGATTGTGTTCTATCGCCCATTTGTGCGTCCGATGGGACCGTTCGCATTGGGACCTTCGAGGACCCTCGAGGATCGCGTTACGATTGAAAGAGGAAAGAAAACACGGTGCGATTTTTCTTGCTTTTTTCGTAGTCTTTTTTTTTAGGGGAGGGAGAGGGGAGGGGGATCGTAGGAAAGGTCGATTCGCGACCGATACGAGATCAACGAGAACGCTCCTCCTTTCTGCGCTGCGATCGTACATCGACGGACTAATTATTACATCGGTTACATCTTTCTACCATTTAAAGACTCTACCCTCTAGAAACACGATTCCCTCTTCTCGTACGATTATCGGTACCATGCCGCCGACTATACTTTCTCGGCCCCTCGAAAAATTGTGAAAATGCTTATTTAAGTATCTCGAACGACGAACGATTTTCGTTTAAACCTTACATAGATACTGGATACAGGTAGCGATTCTATTAATCTTATTATCAGTCGTCTGACTCTGGTACATCAGTCGGCAGTTATTTACGATTGGTCACACAGTTTTCGGGAGCCTTCGAGATGCGAAAGGCTTGTTCATTCATTCCCACGTTTTGTTGTTTTCCTTTTTTTCCTTTTTCTTTTTCTTTTTGGTTCGATACAACGTTTAGTTCCATGGCACACCGTGATCTCAAATGTCGTCTTGAGATGCTTGCGCGACGTTCAATTTGGATACAAGTCCCCGAAATCGAAAGAAAAGAACGGTCTGAAGAACACTTGGTACATATTATATATACTCGCGAACACCATGGAGATAGTTTGGCAGCGTTTGTAAACGATTGCTTCGAGAAAAATCTGGTAACGTTTAGAAAAATTCCTCGCCGCCAATTTTTCTTTTTTTTCTTTTTTTAATTATTATTTTAGACAATGTTCGTTTTTGTTTTAGCACGATTGTACACACTCTGTCATTCTGTTTCGTTTTTTGTTTCTGTTTTTTCTGTGTTTTCTGTTTTTTGGAACTCGGAGAGCGTTTCTCCTCGGAGGGGCTCTTTAGCAGTAAATACCATAAAACTCCATGGCACAGTTAATGTGCGCTGGGTGGAAATGACCGTGCGGCATCAGGTGACTCGGCATGTGAGCTGTGTATCAGTCCATTGGCGGCTCGAGATACGGTATTTCGCTAGTGACGTTAAATGACTCGAAATAGTGATTTAGGAACTCGAACGTGGGCCGCTTCTCGGGGCTGGCGTCCCAGCATTGCAACATCAATCGATAAATGCTGTCCGGCAGCGGGTGATTCAATGGTTTCGGCATTCGGTAGCCCTTGTTTATCTGATCTATTACCTCGCGACCCTGCATACCTGGAAAGCAAACCCAAACGGGCCGTTAGTCCTCAAATTAATGGTATAATGGGCGGCTAATGACGGCGGACTTCTTAGTCAATCCTCCAATTGCTTTGCATCAGTTTTCAATAGGCCAATAATCTTTTGAGACTACAGGGTTTCCCGTAATCATGTTAATAACCGGAAAAGGGTGATTCCTGAGGTCATTTGAAGAAACTTTTTCCTTAGCGAAAATGCAATCCGCGGCTTTGTTTAAGAGTTATTAACGAAAAACAGTGACCAATGAGAGACGAGATCAGCCAGCGCGGAGCGGCCGAGTCATTGTGAGGAACTGTCCGCTCGGTCGCCTCGCGCCAGCCTATCTCGCCTCTCATTGGTCAGTGTTTTTCATTAATAACTCGTAAACAAAGCCGCGGATTGCATTTTCGCTAAGGAAAAAGTTACTTCAAATGACCTCAGGAATCACTCCTTTCCGGGTGTTAATATAATTATAGGACATCCTGTATAATTTACAAATAACTATAAGCTTCTTTTAGATACAGTACAGTCTTTTGTTAATCCATCCATTCCTTTCCTACCATATTACTCTTGTGGCATAAAATCTTTCTATTATACATATATTATATATAATCTCGGTCTCTTATTAATATAATTTTTCTGAATGAACTAGATCATATATCAACGTTTTAAAAACTGGGAAGAAATATGTTCTGCATGGTTAAATTATCTGCTTTAGATCCTGATGTCACCCATATGGCGACGTTTGTTCTCAAAAAGTCAAGTTGCTTTGTAGTCATTGCCAAGTGAGTTGCTTTATCAAAATAACAAGAATTTATTTAGACTTTTCAATTCTCAATTATTCAATCAGTTCAAGAAAGAAGTTTCCAGATTGAAAATGAAAAATGTCATTGTGATCAGCATGGTAGGGTTGGTGTTAACGGGACTCTCAACTACTGTACCACATTAAAACGAAGCTGCTTTTTAACAATTAAAATTTGCATCTAACTTGTGCAGCCAGGGATTGAACAAAGAGAAGTACAGAAGAAATTCCAAACGATGCTTACCAGGATAAGGAACTTGGCCATAAGTGAAGAGCTCCATCAGAAGTATGCCGTAGGACCAGACGTCGCTTTTGATGCTGAATCTGCCGTAGACGATGGCCTCCGGAGCTGTCCACCTGACAGGGAATCTGCTACCTTGCTTGGGACAGTACTCGTCGTCCTCGATCGCCCTGGCCAGGCCGAAGTCGCAGATCTTCGCCTTGTTCTTCTCCCCTATCAGCACGTTCCTCGCTGCCAGGTCTCTGTGTATCAACTGCTTGTTCTCTAGATGCTCCATGCCAGAAGCCACCTGCGCCGCGATGTAGATCAGGTCCTCGAACTGCATGTACTTGCCGTCGCCCGTCCTCAGGAAGTCGAGCAGGCTGCCGTTGCACATGTACTCCTGCACGATGTAGATCGGTTCTTCCTTCGAGCAGATGGCATACAACGCCACCAGGTGTCTATGCCGGAATTGCTTCATGATCGCCGCCTCCTGGAGGAATGCTTCTGTAGACATGGTCCCGGGTCGCAACGTTTTCACAGCCACTTCGATCTTGTTCCTCCACTTGCCGTAGTAGACCTCGCCGAAGTTGCCGTGGCCCAGTTTGCGGATCAGCTGGATCTCGTTCCTGTTGATCTCCCACTTGTCGCGCAGCTCCGGGCCGAGGTCCCACATGTCCGGTTGCGGCTTCGGACAGGGTTTCGAAAGCACATGGCAAAGACCCAACGCGTTTTCTGGAAGATCATTGAAGTTAAAGGCAATGCTCCGCGGCTCTGATCCTTTTATCGAGATTTGCTCCTTTGTAGCAACGAAGTACTAGGAATCCGAAATTTAACGATGCAAGAGCTGCTAGATTAAAGAAGAAGGATGTCCGTGAAAAATTTGATTATACTGAATGGGACTAGGCGATGACGATTACTTGTATCAGATCTGAAAGGCGGTTGACGCGTCCGTGATTTAATGTCTGAATGGACCACTGTCGTCTCTGGAGATTAATAGGGCGATAGAAACGGGCTCGGCGTTAGGACCGATGCCAGTGGTAGCTAAGTTTCATGATAAATATTATTGGACTCCGAAGAGAATGCTCCTGGGGGACACAATAGGGCGACGGAAACGCTTTATTGATTCGCAACTCTGCCGCCGTGCAAACACGTGTCAAGGCAGTAAATTGCCTCCGGGATGAAAGAGACAGTGTTTCGCGCTCTTTCAGACTCTACTTTATTGGCAGCCAATAGAGCATGATCCAAAGGAATAGATAAGCTGCGATTATAATAGGTCACCGTGCGTCTTGTAAGAGAAGGATATCTGCAATGTTGTTGGCGAAGCTGGTCGATCGTGGATTCTAATTAGGTCAATTGGCTAGCCTCCTATCTTACTTGCTACTTACTACAATGGAGCAAATGTCTTCAAGAACGCGACTTACTGCTGTACGCCATAACGAGGGCCGGCAGCGTGGGGAATGTCTGGTTGGTGGCGATAAAGAAGCCTCCATTGTCCAGGGGTTTAATTTTATAGTGTTTCACGTGATGGCCCCTTCCCTCCTCCCAGTCCTTCACGGAGAGGCTGTAGCCTCTGGGATTGTGCTCGCTGGGTCTGACCAGGAACGTACCCCGCGGATTCTCGTCGACCAGCAGCAGCTTGCCAGCCTCCTTCCGCGAGACATTCTCGAAGAACCAGCTGCGAAGAACAGAGTTACGTTCACCGATTTACCTGCGGGACCCACCCGGAGAACCGTGTAATAATCGAAAACAAGGGGCTCACTCTTCGCTCTCCACCGAGCGCTCGACGGCGACGAAGTTCCAAGGGATCAGGCCCTCTTGTAAAGTTGTCAAGTGCAAAACTTTCCACCAGTCGGGCTCCGAGTCGTCCAATACTTCCATACGGTCGCCCTTCACGAAGCTGACGTCGGTGCTCTCGCGCGCAGTGTAATTGTACAGAGCCACCACGATCTTGTTTGACCTCTGCGAATGCGCTGTTTCAAGAACGAACCAATTTACGCCGGGTCCGCCACAGGGGCCGAGAGGGCGGCGGTCTTAGGCGACCGACCGAATCCTAATTTTGCTGCGTTGCTACTGGTTACTATCGAGCTCGTTTCGCGGCCGCAGTATACGACGCTCTGCAAATCCCTCGCGCGGCCGCGAAACTCGCCGAGCTGACGGTCTAAGCCTTAGCTTCTGCGGGGACCAACTCGTGCAGCAAGACGATCTTTGGGAATCTTTTTCGGAAGGTCTTAAGCCATGGTTTAAGCCGATCGTTGCTGCGCGTCTTCGAGGGTTGAGAACGTTGTATCGAGAGCAATATGGTGCTCGTACAGGGTACCGGTGTCGGTTACTGGGGAGGCTGACCAATTGCTGTGTCTTTGGTTTGTTTTTCGGGCATAATTGACTCTGTATTTATCGAATAAGATTCGCTGCATTTCTTTTCTCATTTTGTTTATTTTTGAATAAAAACATTTAGTACTCGATAAATATAAAGTTAATTATGTCAAGGTTAACAAGGTCATCAAGAACGATCGCAACGTGATTATTGATCTAGGTGAAAAGGAAATCGATCGTTTCAACGAGTTACACGAGTTGGTCCGCGTGAGTTTGCAAAAGAAAAAGAATGAGATCTCTCGTGATCGACGATATCAATCAAGCTTGTAAGGCTAATTATAATAAATTGAACTAAATAGTACAGCCTATGCTACGAAATAAAAGAAAATAACATAAAATACACACATGCAGGCATAACGACAGGCGAGCTTGTTTTACGGGGTTGATGCGGAATCTGTAGCTTACAAGGTGTCGGCCTCTGCCGGATGATATCCGCCCTCGCCTGTACACCCCTCTGATTAGGGTCGGCAGTGTACCGGTCCAAGGAGCCTCCATTGCTGTGTTTCGAGCTTATCCCTGTGTCCGCCTTCTTGTAACCTGAACGAAGATAACCGAATCATTTCATTCGAAGAATCCTAGACAAGCGATTCGTGCACCCTTTATCATTATAAACTCGGCAGACCGGGTGAACCGGGGTTTGTTACCCTAAATAAAATCACGCTTCTATCCTCTGCGCGGCTTCACAATAGCTGCGCGAAACACGCTTCTAAAAGGAACGAAAGAAAGTTCCCGAAAGAGATCAAGGCAATCTCCAGGTAGCCTGTGTATAAAAAATTAGGTCGACTCTGGCTTCCTGCAAAACAGGTCCATTCTTCAACCCTTTTCCGCTGCAGGTAAGTCCACAATAGCCATCCGGAACTTTCTCAACATTCATAGCGATGCGAAGAAGTTCCAAAAGGAAATCAAAGGGGCACAGAAAGATTTGGGTCAACTTTGTTATACCCAGCGTAACACGGTCCTCCTTCTCGGCGCTTATTCTTGTTCATTTTCTTCTCCCATGTAGCTACTGTAATTCGTTCCGTTGCTTCCAGTGAAACATCGTTTATCGATTTGAAGTTCTAGAATTGACTTGTAATCGAATTCTTACGCAAAAATGTCTCTCAAAATGGCTTCATTAAATCACATAAAATATAAAGTATAACTGTGTTTTTTAGCTATCGAATGAAAACAACCACGTTCTATATGGTGTCCAAAATAGAACTAACAAATTGATTGAAACTTTCTCTGTGTCGTTTTTAAAAATGAAATTGTTGACGTGAGCTCTCTTTATGCCGCTTCTACAGATAGAAATAATTGCTAGAAACGATCCGTTACTTTTTTATTTCGTTTCAGACAGAGTGCGACCAAAAGTCGGGCATGAAGATATCGAGGAGAGATCGGTGAGCGATCAAGGTGTGCGAGCCGAAAAAATTGGGTTATCTCTTGCACCCCGGACAAAACGTCTGCAACCGATCCCCCGGCCCTGTCTCGCTGGTACCAGATCTTCGTCGGCCACTCGAAACTTTCCCGAAGGCTACTTAAAGCCCGAGCGTAAGTTGGAAAAGAAAACTTTATCGCTGGAACAGCCGCGAGATAGAAGTTCCAGGGCTCGCCGCCGCCGCGAAGTTTCGGGGGTACTTACCGAGGGGCTGTGACTCTTGCCGCTTGCTGCAACACTTGCCCATCTTGGATCCCGTGGCACTGATGGTTCCCCTTGCGATCCTGATTCTACGCGGCTTCTATACTGACGCGAGCACCGAGGAAAGTCTCCATGCTCGTGAACCGAAGGTCGAACGGCGGCGGAGGCTTCCGCTGCAATTTTTAGGATCACTTTCTTCTCTCCATCGCGTGTTTATTGATTCCGCGCACCTGCAAGGTGAACCAGAAGGCGTCAGACGACCGCGGCTTCCCAGGCGAATGGCCTTATCCAGGCCGGTTGCAGGATGCGTAGTCGTAATTCACGGTTGCGGATGGACGATCGTTCAGCCGTAGAAAATAACCCGGCTCGATAACGTTCCGACCGTGACGCTTTCGTTATCACGCCCCGCGACGTCCTTTTTTTCGCGATAATTGCCCGATGCGTGGAGATTACAGGGATCTGGATCTTGTGCAGTCGCGTCGAAGCGAAACGCGAACATACAGTAAATTCTCCCCAATTTTCCTTCAACTTGCAAACAAACATGGACGATTCGGGAAGAGGAGATACGATTATTCGAGCCCCGTCATTTTTATAGTTGCAAATTGTTAACAATTATAAGAACGAGGTGCGAGGTTCGATTAATCGTATCTCCTTTTCCGAAATTGTCAATTTTTGCTTACAAGCTGAATGAAAATTGGGGAGAATTTACTGTACTTCGTAACTCCGTGGATAGAAAATTATTTTGAACTACCTAATTTAGGTTACTTAGGTTAGCTGAACCTATTTGTTTGTACGTTTAAAGATGGCATATGAATTTTTCTAGATCGTTTTAATAACGAACACTTTTTAAAAAACGTATCAGACATCGAACACCAGCGTTTACGACACAACATCTGCAGTTTGAATATTAACCCTTTTACGGTGTTCTTAAAAACTTATAGGCATGACGTTCTAAAAAAGTACATGCACATCTTTGAAAACTATACTATAACACAGTGTTTCTAATCCCGTTATATAAAAGAATAAAATAATCACTACGAAAGCGCAAAAAAGTCAAAAATTAATTAAAAATAAACAAAGTCACTAAACGTGATTTCGATAAGCTGATGATTAAAAAAGTTACGCTACAGAAGGATTAACACAGCTGCTACATTATTTGCGACTTGCAAACATCATCAATGTAAATGTATTCCCATTTAACTTCTGTTTCCGTTTATATTTGCAGACCAAAAATTAATAAATATAAATTAATAAAATTAATAAAATATGAATAAAAAATAATAAAATAATAATAATAAAATAATAAAACATAAATTAATAAATATCCGCAGACCAAAAATTGTCTACCTCGCTTGCAACAAGCTAACGTAAAATAAAAATTTATCTTCTTTCTTCCATGTGTAATAGATTGAAAATAATGTAACAGCATTCTTAAAGTCTCATAATCCTTCCGCCGTTCCGCGTTCCACCCACCCAATTTTCTCGTAAGTGCACAAAATCCGCAGTCTAATAATAACGGCTACAGTGCTTTCAATTTGGTAGCAGAGTTTCGCGAAATGTCCGGAGAAAGAAATTGCCTGTTAAGCCACACCGGATGGCGGTGGTTGGTTAAAAATCGTAATGCATTCGGTCCCGTCGCTTTCAGCCACGGCGAAATAAAAAGAGATTGGTACACGGCCACGGACACGAGGTCGCGCAAAGCCTCATAATTATGCAAGATGTAATGGTGTGTCATAGACGACAGGAAGCGTCGCCGCGCGCTACCAAATGAACCCTCCTCGAGGCACTAGACACACCGTCTAAGTTTATTTATTCTGGCTCTGGCTCCGGCGGTGCCGTGTGCGCTACCGGGACGATTGCATCTGTCGAAGAACGAATAGTTCCCCTGAATAGGGGAACAGCGTCTCGGCGTTCCTTGTGTTTGGAGAGGCCAAACGGGGATCGGGAGCAACGCGGAAAATCGTGACTGCCCCCCCGGGCTCTCGCATTGTCGCACGCGATCTACGCGCACGCGATCCATTTGCATTTTCATAAAACCGTACACGACGCCCCTTTATCCCGGCCGGGTTACACTTTTTATTAATTGTCCAATTTCTCGCGCGTTCGTCGACGGATCTCTCTATCGCTTGCAACCTTCCCGATGTTGCTTGCTGCGTTCGAGATTAGAAAGTTTTATGTTCCATGGGATCAATGAACTTCGTGTAAATATAGTAATTGTTTCCAACGTTCTACAATTTGACATTTTGTTGGAAGCGTTGCTTGATTAATCACTGGTGCAATTAATTACGAAATTCATCGAGTGCACAGCTTCGATGTGCTATTTCTATGAATCTTCTGTTTTATATTGTATATTCATCCCTTATATGTACTACCCCTTAAACATTGATCAATATTCATACGAATATTATATAATATTATATTTATAATATTCATACGAATATTATATAATATTATTTATAATATTATTATTATTATATTATATATAATTGAAAGGATTCTAACCCTTCTATCTTCTCCAGGATGAAGATGCACCCGTTTTCCATTTTTCTTAAATTACAAAACCTTTGATTCTCGTAAATTTGCGTCATAAGCTGTGCTTCTTTAGAATCCCAAGCAAAAATAAGTGGAGATCTGCGACCCCTTTCGAACGTATAATTTATTTATAGAACAAAACGTAGCAAAATGCGATGCGGCTCATGAATTGCAAAGTGGATAGAATTTGAAAGATCGGAGGGGATTAAATGCTCGTCCATTCGAGGAGAATGAACCGCTTTCGAAGCCGTGGCCGGGTAGAAAGAGAGGTCAAGAGTACGGCACGGAATAAATTAGCCCGGACAAAGCCAGAAAAATGTCTGAATGAAAGTGTTCTAAGAATCGGCGCCGTTAGTCGTCGGGACGTTCGCTCTAATTTAGCATGTTACTCGGAAACACCGGCCACATGCCTGATTTGTCTCGCGCCGAAACGAAACGAAACACGCGACCCCCGGCAAAGAAGACGCATGACAGAGAAAAAGAACGTCGCGAGGAGCGTCTCGACGCGGACGCCTTAAGTCTTCTTTAAATACAGCGTGATCGATGGTCCGGCGGGGGCGGCTTCGTAGTCTCATGAAATCGTTCGGGATATTAGGTTCTGCTCCGAAAGTTCGGTCGTTTTTCGTCCGCGCGAAAGCGTTCAGCTTAATCTTAGTCAGTGACAGCATCCGTTATCCTCCCTGATTGCGCTCCTCGGATTGTTCTTGCACCATGTTCGTTATTTGGCCGGCTCGAAACTTGGAACTTTCGTGAGAAATTCTTTTACACTAGATTTAGGGAACCCGTCAAAATGACGGGTCACTAATTTTTTAATTTATTCAATTTATATATATATTTTTTAATTTATTTAATTTATATATATATATTTTTTAATTTATTTAATTTATATATATATTTTAATTTATTTAATTTATATATATATTTTTTAATTTATTCAATTTATATGTTACTTACGGCAAATGGTACAATAACACTTGTTAAAAATCAGGATAAATGTCTTATTGTTACTTTTATAAAATAACATAAAACAGTTGCATTTTTTGTGCTCCGTAAATCTAGCGTTAACACTTTCAGGGTGGAGAAAAATTGTCGTTCTTCATCGACTCGGTGATAAAGTATTTAAGCATTTGCGATGACTAAACCGCGGCCTTTATGCGTTTACAACGGAAACGAATGAGTCAAATCTAAAACTGTAAGAAGTTTAAATGAACTTTAAAATCATCGATGTACTATTTCGAACTTATCGAGATTAAAAAGATAATTAAATTTCTGTTTCGTTACTTTTTCTTACAATCGATTTTCTTACAATTTTTATTTGCAATCTGGTGATGATTATTATCTGGATACGATAATTATACATAATAAAAAAAATTTGCATCAATTGTGTAAGACAGGTGTTTAATACAAATGTATTGCTTTTCTTTTAATAGTCTTAATAATTTCGAAATAATGTAACGATATTTTAAAATTCTTCTCGTGTCTCGTTGTTGTTAATCCATAAAATCCGCAGTCTAGCGATGACATAAATTCGCAACGTTCTAAAGTATGATCGAAATCTCCTACTTTTAATTATATATTAATACAACAGCGAAAATCAGTTTACAGGAAATTCTGCCGAGATGGTGAGGGACCTCAGGATCAGACTATGGATTTTCATGGCCGATAAAAATTGTCTGCGATAATCAAGGAAAATAGGAAATAAACAGTTCGTTACCATCCATAACAATCGTGACACATAATATAATACGACAGCGATTTTTAATTTTAAATTTTTCTAATAACTCTCCTTAAATTCTTTTACGATTTCTAATATTTTCTCGTCACAAATGCGTATAATTTGCAAGTTCAGCGATAAGAAACGCAGGAAAGAACGTCGACGAAGGCTACGTGTAAACGTTTAATAATAAATATTCCAGACGACCCACTTTCCGTGAGACGGAAACATCGTAGATAGTAACGCAAGAAACTGTGCAGCGAAGCGCTGCGCTGCTGTAATAGGGAAACTATGTAAATGGAAGTTGATAAAAGCTCGTCAGGTAATTCCCAGGGAAAGGATCGATCGTGGAATGGTCCGGGCAGCCGTTCCGATCACCAGGGAACTTTCGCAATTACAGAAAGACACGAGAGTAGTAGCGGGCCATCCGGGCTAGAACAGCGTCAACTTTCGAAAAACAGTGGCCGGCTTCGGATCCAATTCGTCGGCGGGGTCTAAATATTTACGAGGTCGTCGGACGGTTCCGCGAGTTCGCGACACGGCCGAGCGATGTTTCTGAGACCGGGGTTGGTCCGTGCCCGTTCAAAATCCCCGGACTCTGCGGGGTTGGCGCATCCCGGGGATGCCGCGATTTTCGTGGCGCGCAGTGACGACCTTTCGTGTCGGGGACGCGGACCAGCCTCGGACGGCTGGTAAACAAATTACGGGCACGAGCCGGGGGAGGAAAACTCGGTTGTCGCTTGAATGGAATATCGGGGAACAATGAGGCGGCATTTCAATTTTCACGGTGAACGGAATTAACCACGGTCGAGGAATGGCTCGGTCGGTGCCGTGTCATAAATTTCACCGTCGGCGCTGCAGAACCACGGAAATTATTCCACCGGGTTGACCCGGAACTTCGAAAGAATCGCTCGAAGTTTCTTGTCGCAATCGGAGAGAATTTAAGGGCAATTTGCGGGAAAGTAGGAATCAATTAAGATGCAA